AAGTAGGGTGGTGCTGGTGTTGTTGTAGCCTCGATCCCTAGAGCCCAAAGTGACTTGAGCCTTTTGTCCGTTACTACCCTAGCTGCTGTATACTACACAAGGGTTTGCAATAAAAGGTTGACGAATAAATGTTAGGGACGCATCGGGAACAAGGTGAATGGCTTTGAGCTGAATACACTCCAACCATAGTGAAGAAGAAGGAGGGTCTTGCAAAGAGTGATAACATCCTTTATTTGATACATTATCTCAGAGACGATCCTAAGGCATAGAGAAGCGGCCAACCATAGGTTTGCCCGTAAGATACAGAAACAGAAAGGTTAGACGGTAATGAGGCGATTCGAGCGTGTGATCCCCGCAGCGATAAGTTAATAATATTAACCGTTTGATCGCCGACCATCAAAATGAAGAGGTCAATACATGGCTGAAGAATATTGGAGTTCAAGTAAAACTACAGAATATATTGAACGTATGGAGTCAGTCCCAAACTAGAGATTAGTTGCATCAGATTGTTGATCTACCAGACGTCTTCACGGTATTGACTCGACTTTTTAGTACCCCACTCATCTGTAACACTCAGGTATGAATTGAGTGTATCGCACAAACAATCGATCGTGAGTGGCGACAGGAAGCCTAAATGGTTTTAGTGGACCAACTAGCGCAGATCTTGACAGCGACAGCTTTTCAACTAATTAGTTACAAATTCATTTGTTATTTGGTTTGTAAAGAACACAAGTGACTGAACTGGAACGGCTGACTGTAATTGTGTCGACGTGATTTACAGAGTCAATGGGTATGATACAGATCAATAATCATTAGGCCCGGCAATAATGGCTGGGCCCATAGCGGGACCGACCAGTCACGTGGCATCCAATGCGAGTGAGTTGCGGCATGATTTGAGCTCATTACGTCAATAAATACAGAATCAAAGATAGATTAACACCAGCCTTTCATTCCAAAAGATCTTGAATTTGGTATTTCCGTTGCGTTTAGATTAGAGTTCAAACCTAGAAGTAAATTTATTCATAACAGGAAGGCTTTCAACACTGAGTTCACCATAGAGGTTGCACCAATACAATGTATTTAAACTCATTAGAAGCACCATAATAAGAATGTAAAAGTTATCTCGAAAAACCATCCAAGATCGCTTTTCCTATTATGAAATTTTCTGCTAATGAACCCTATCTGCATTGCTAGGTATTGTGATCGATTTGACGGTACAGTTAATAGTGACCGATTGGTAAGAAAGGTTTTATACACATTGACTTTAAAGGAGTATTGTACTCAGTTAACCACGAAACCCTACTTGGTTCACTTTTTCCGAAAGAAATATGCAAACATTTGATGGCGTTTACAGTGAGCCGAACAGATCGTTCGAAGCCAGGAGCAGTGTTTGTCAAGAGTGTTCTATTTCACCGTTCCTGTTCGGTTTCGTCGCAGACGGAATGTAGATGATGAGTGGGCAGCTACAGAAGAGCTGTGCTATTAGTGTTACGCTGATGACGCGGTTTATCTGTTCGAATGTACGAAGGACGCAGAAATTGCACTTGACAGACTGAAAAGTTCTGTTGCTCCATTCGGCCCACACTTTGCAAAGAGATGCTTCAGGCATCGGTGTCTATTAGTCTTATTTTGATACTAGATTGTCAGGAATTGGCTGTAGTCGACTACTTTTTCTGCTTAAGCAGTTGTGTGACCAATGACGGACACACGCGTTTCCAAGGTTCGAGCAGGGCTAAATCACCTTTGGCGACAGGTTGATGCTTCAGTGAAGTGAAGTGAAGGCGTATACTTCGCCGCCGTTCCGCCAGTTCTGCTTGTGAGACCTCTAATCGGCGAGTAAAAATCCATCGGTTGGAGGTTTTCGACAAGCAACACTTACGTAATCTGACCAAGGTTGAATGGAGCCAATGGTTTAGTAACCTAGATGTAAGTCGTCATGTGTTTGGGAATGTTTTGAGGAAGAATTCACTATCACATCAAATTCAACGCAATAGACTTCGCGGGTAGGCACACGTTTTGTGTATGCCTAATGATCGCTTACTGCACTGCTCCTTATTCGCAGTTGCCGTTTCGGGTTGGACAAGACGACATGGAGGTCAACAGATCACCTGGAATCAATGCATGAAGAAATGCGCAGAGCGATTGAGTAGAGTAGCCCTCTCTCGTCTTTCATCATGGAATTCAAATGACTCAGTAACTGGTTGGTTAGAAAGACTAAAGGACTTAACAGCGGACTAATAGCAGTTGCGTTCTTGTTACTACTTCTTATCAGGCCAGAATTCTTAAAAAGTTGTGTGTACAAGGTTGGTGTGTGCTCTGTGTTGACCTTTTTTCTTTTCTTTCTGAAACTCGGCCAAACCCGTACACACGTTACACATTCTCACTTACGTTGTTTGCATTATGAGTTTGACAGCCATCACTAAAGCTCAATTCAATTCATTCTTCTGTACGATAGTGGTGATTATTTTATAGGGGTAGGATTTACCTGTCCCTATTTGTTATACTAACTAGTTGTAAGCTGAAAACTAGGTTGGACCGATATCTAAGCTAATTAGGTGAACCTTCTTGGTTCTGATAAGTTTGTGACACGGTGTTTGAACCATACCTTGACAGCCCTTCAGTTGACCAATCTGCTCTACTGCCTAGGTTGTGATTCACTCCACCGGATTGCCCGTTCCATCCGCTTGCCCAATCAAGCCAGTCATATTCATTATCAGAATGTCCCGTAGCTCACATCGTTTGAACCCTTTATTAGAAATTTACTAACCAAGAATTCTTATCTGCATCACCTACCTCTTGTATTGAATGAATCTGGTTAATTTCTGAGGCAAATAAATTGCATCGTTCTCCCAACATTTTGGTGGCATAGTGAAGCATGTTTTTGTTGTTGTTGTCGTCGTCGTCGGGAAAGAGCATCGAAAACATTTCTTCTCTCTCTTGGACGATAAACGACCTTGTACGGAAAAGGGATAGTTCCACGTGACGAATTTGTCTCATCTGAGCATAAATCAAATGGACTTGGAAAGGCTTAAATCAAACATTTGGTCAATAAATCCGGAGTTCTCAAAAGAGCTGCGCTGTTCCCACGCCTTACCTAAGGGGGAGGGGAGGGGGGGGGCTTATGTGGTTCGCCAATCCAGG